GGGAAAATTCATATTCTTTTTCCAATGGCAAACACTTCCTAAGTTTTTTATGTATTCAACTAAATCTCCTTTAGCCATGAGACAAATATTTTCCTACTCATCCAATTCACCTAACTTATACCCTTTTTTCATTATTGTTTTACTTTTCTGATTGTCTTCTTGCCTTCCAAAAATCTAAGAAATCACAATTGGAGTTTGTTTGGGGCAATGTTTTCATTGATTTGCTTTCCAAATAGCAACCACAATCCTATTTAACAGTAAATTTTTTATTATTTTCTAGATATTTTATAGAAAATAATAATATTTTATAATAAATTTAACTAAATGTGGCAGTTGTAAGAAAGTTGATATCTATTTTTTTTTTTTTTAAATATGCAATATTTATAACTATTTAAAAAAAATCAAATTTCGTTGTAACAATTTTACAGAAACCAAAGGGTCTATAATTATACGTCCTCCGACCAAACGTAGAGGAACTTCCGGTCGGAGGCAAAATCGCGCCAAAAAATGAGAAATACCAAGAAAATACCGAGCAATACCAAACAATAACGAGAAATACCATCATGTGAAGACCCAATACCGAGTTATACCGAGCAATACCGAGTTATACAAAAAATACCGAGTTTTTCCTAGAAAAAACTCGGTACAACTCGGTATTGCTCGGTATAGCTCGGTATAACTCGGTATTGATCTTCACAGAGCTGTATTCCTCTTTATTATCAAATAATACCTAGCAATACCGAGTAAATACCGAGTTTTTTGGCGGGATTTTGCCTCCGACCGGACGTTCCTCTACGTACGTTCACCGGACGTAATAATTGTTCCTATTTGAGGCCGTCACAGTGTTTTTCAAAAGCTTTTGTATAACTGATATGAGGAAAGCAATTTTTTTTATATCTAAATTATGGGTATTATAAATCATTTTAAAATTTGGGACATCAATTTTCTTATAGTTATTAATTTTTAAAATTATTTCAAATCATTTTTTAAAAGCAATAAGAAAGGTATAGGCAAATATGATTTTGATTAATATATGTAAGCAAAACTATTTTAAAAAAAAGTTCTAAAATGACCCTTAATGTACCGCAATTTCTTGTAAATGAAGCATTTTGCTCATGCTTACTTTTAACTGTAAAATAATTCTAAAATTTTTAGTTTATATATATATATATATATATATATAATATTCGCTTTTCTTATATATCTTTTCTTGCATGCCTGAAAATCTTCTTTAAGATGTTCAGAAGGTATGTAAAGTGCATAGTACATGGGATGCATAATATTATGGTGAATCCCTTCGGTGCTGGGAAAAGGCTTGTTGCACGGAGGAATGGTGTTCTCAGTATAGTCCTTATTCTCTGTTGAGGAGTTCAGTTGCTTTCTTTATCGAAATATTTGTATTTAGAGGTACAAATCATTAATAAAAGTTATTATTTTGGCATCTTGAAGGAATACACCAAAGATCATTGAGGTTTTGAGCTCCGATGGTTCAAGCTGCAGCCAGATACCATCCTCTAGAGCAGATCCACTACAAGGTTTGTGAGCTCATGCCATTTCCTGTCAAGAAGAATATTAGAGAAATTTCTATCCTTATAAATTACCCTCTTTATAATAAAAGGGCATTACTTTTAAGAATTGATAGTCAAATCCTCGTTGTTTTTATTTCTTCTTAAATTAAGGACTGGAAAAATACAACAACAACATCAAGTCTTTATCCCACTATGTGGGGTCGGCTACATGAATCCTTTTTCTTCATTGTGTCCTATTAAAAGTCAAATTCTCGTTTAAATCTAATAAAGAAAGGTCATTCCTAATATTTTCTAACCAAGTCTTTTTAGGTCTACCCCTACCTTTCTTAATATAAGTCAAATCTAATACCTCTACTCTCCTAACCGGGTCATCGAAAGGCCGTCGTTTTATGTGGCCAAACCATCTAAGGCGACTCTCTCTAATTTTATCTTCTACTGGAGCTACTCCAACCTTTTCATGTATATGTTCATTTCGTATCTTATCTCTAAGGGTAAAGCCACTCATCCACCTGAGCATCCTCATCTCTGTCACACTTAACTTAGTATTATGCTTCTCTTTTAATGGCCAACATTCGGCACCATAAAGCATTGCAGGCCTCACTATCATCTTATAGAATTTTCCCTTAAGTTTGAGGGGTACATTTCTATCACATAACAAGCCCGATGCATTCCTCCACTTCAATCATCCAACTTGAATTCTGTTGATAATATCCCCATCTATTTCACCATCACTCTGAACAATAGATTCAAGATATCTAAAACGTGTACTCTTATTAATGACTTGATCGCCCAAAGTCACAATCCCTTCAGTAGGTCTATTACTACTAAAATTACACTCCATATATTCTGTTTTAGATCTACTCAAGCGAAAACCTTTAGACTCTAAGGTTGACCTCCATAATTCAAGTTTACCTTCAACTCCCTCTCTAGTCTTATCAACAAGAAGAATATCATCAGCAAAAAGCATACACCAAGGTACATCCTCTTGCAAATGTCTAGTGAGAACATCCATGACTAAAGCAAAAAGATATGGGCTTAAGGCTGATCCTTGATGTAACCCAACCGAAATAGGGAAATACTTGGTCAATCCACCTTGTGTTTGAACACATGTAATAGCTCCTGCATACATATCTTTAATGATTTGAATATAAGCATTATTGACTCCTTTCTTTTCAAGAACTCTCCATAGCACTTCTCTTGGAACTTTATCATATGCTTTTTCTAAATCAATAAATATCATATGTAGATCCTCCTTATTTTCTCTATATTTCTCCATCAAACCTCTTAATAAATGTATGGCTTCCATAGTCGACCTACCCGGCATGAATCCAAATTGATTTTGAGAAACATTAGTATCACGCCGCAACCTATGCTCCATAACTCGCTCCCATAGTTTTAAAGTATGACACATTAACTTAATACCTCTATAATTCGCACAATCTTGTGCATCACCTTTATTCTTAAAAATAGGAATTAACATACTCATTCTCCACTCATCTGGCATCTTTTTAGTCTTCAAAATAGTATTAAAAAGTTTAGTAAGCCATGAAATTCCTTCATCTCCTAAGCATTTCCACACCTCTATTGGGATATCATCAGGTCCAACAGCTTTTCCACCCTTCATTTTCTTTAAAGCCTCTCTAATTTCAGTTTTACTAATATGCCGATAAAAACATAAATCTTTATTTTCATTTAGGGTGCTAAGGTCACTATAGTCAATCTTATTTTCACAATCTTCATTAAAAAGTTTAGCAAAATATCTCATCCATCTTTGTTGAATATCATCTTCTAAGAAAAGTATTTTTTGATCTTCATCTTTAATACACTTCACTTGAACTAAATCCTTACTACTCCTATCTCTTTGTTTGGCTAACTTATACATATATCTTTCTCCTTCTTTAGTATCTAATCTATTATATAAATCACTAAAAGCTAATGTCTTTGCATCGCATATGGCTTTCTTAGCATCCTTACGAGCAACTTTATATATTTCCCAATTATCGGAATTTTTAAAATTAAACCAATTTTTATAACAAAGCTTCTTATTTTTAATTTTTTCTTGCACATTAGGATTCCACCACCAACTATTTTTACTATTAGGAGCTTTTCCCTTTGATACTCCAAGGACATCTTTTGCAATATTCTTAATATCACTAGCCACTTTTTTCCACATAATATTAGCATCCTCATGCACAGACAAAATCTTACGATCTAAAATCTTATCTCCAAAAATATTTTTGTTAATATTCTTTAAATGCCCCCATTTAATCCTAGAAAATTGTTTTACTTTATTTTTTATTTTATGCCCCTTTATCTTAAAGTCCAAAACTAATAATCGATGTTGGGTACATAAATTTTCACTCGGAATAACTTTACAATCTTTGCAATCTAAACGATTTAATTTTCTAATAAGAAAATAGTCAATCTGGGTTGTATTATATCCATTTTTATAAGTGATGAGATGCTCATTTCTTTTCTTAAATAAGGTATTAGCAATTGAAAAATCATAAGCTAAACAAAAATCCAATATGGTCTTGCCACCTTCATTCGTCGTTCCAAATCCATGTCCACCATGAATGCTTTTAAAATCATCTACCTCTCTACCAACATGTCCATTTAAATCTCCTCCAATAAAAACTCTTTCTTCGGTATCTTTTGTATTAATTCTTCTAAGTCATTCCAAAAATTTAATTTAGAACTCATATCCAAGCCTACTTAAGGAGCATAAGCACTTATAATATTAGCAATCTTATCATCAACAACAATCTTTAAAGCTATAATTCTATCTCCAATCATATTAATTTTTATAACATTATCCTTTAAACTCTTATCTATAATAATACCTACACCATTTCTAGTACAGCTCCTACCCGAATATCAAAGTTTAAATCATAAACTATCAATTTCCTTAGCCTTCTCTCCAACTCATTTAGTTTCCTGAATGCATAAAATATTTAACTTCCCATGAATCATAATATCTAATAATTCCATTAATTTTCCTGTAAGGGAACCTATATTCCAAGTTCCTATCCTAATTTTAGTTTCATGGATTAGCTTCTTTACCGACATCCGTACTTGATGTGGGAACCCTTGCCTATTTAACACTGCACCCGGGCGCCGGTGCAGCGGCCCTTGCACAATTGTCACTGTATTCAGGCCATACAGCGCGTCGCTTCCAGGGGACGCCCTAGCATTAACACAATTTCTTAAATGATTCATGTCATTATTGTTCGACAAATTTTATGCTGACTGTCGACTACCTAACGCAACCCTCCACTTTTCTCATCCAGAACTTGGGACCTGTCAATGACAGTGTTGATATTTTACATACAATAAATAATATATACAAAACTAATATACAATATATATTAATCTTATGTTAACATAACTCTAATAAGTCGGAAAGCCACACTTAATAATTTCTCTCATAAATGAGATAATTTTAAGAGCTATTTTTCTGAATCCCAGAAAATTACATCGATACGGGACGGCCTCTCCCCGCTCGCTCTCTCGCTCCTCTGCAATCGCTTTGCCCACTGCCACCGGCCGTCGATATACTGTATTGCCAGTGAACTTAGGTTTATTCAAGGAAATGAAATGTTCTCCATATGCACTTCGCCTAGGCACTCATTTCTTCTAGAGAGATGGAAAGGCAGGCAGCTGCGGGCCTCCTTCATTTCCGCCACACGGACGATCGGTGTCGCTCCTTGGCGAATCCCTTGTTCCATGAACGACAATTCAACTCTCGTATGTTCTTTTTCTGAAATTTTGGCATCGTTCTTCCCATTCTTCTTTTTCGTTAATTCTTTGACTCGTATGGGTGATCAATCCCTTCAGAAAAATTTCTATCTTCTTGCAGCATGATTTTGATCCTTCCAAGGAGCTACTAGAGCTTGAAGTGGATTCACGCCCGAGGTTTGGCCTTTTATGTTCTTCATACTGCAATGATATTTTAGTTTGTCCTGGGAAAATGTTATTCTGGTTGATTATTTTCCATTATTCATTCCAATGGTTGTGTATCCTGAATTTTGCGGCAGTGCTTCAGAACACATGAAAAATTTTTCTCATCTGCTTCCCTGAAAAGAATTGTTCTTTTTGCAAAGTTTTGTATGCTAAGTTTTTTAGTGGAAAATAAGTTGAACCCTATTTGAGACTTCCAGGAAAGCAAATATGTGAGAGGGGAATGAAAATTCGATTGGATATCTTAACCTCTTAATGAAATACTATAAAGAAGGCAACCAATTCCATTGTGGAGAAGGTTAAAATATCATGCCCCCTCACTAAACCTTATCTCAACCTTCTATTAGACGGCGAAACCTAAGTTCAATAGTAGAAGATGAACTACATAAGTTTCAGATCACTGTTAGGGTAGTTAGAACAGTTGTTGTAGTCGATCGTTTATCTAGTGAGTAATTATCTCACCAGTGTTGCTGCTTGGAGCAACTTATATCAACCATGTTAACTTTTAGATCAGAAGGTTAAGGAAATGAGGTTGATTAAAGTTTTTTTTTTTTTTTTTAATTCAAATTGGGAAGGCTTTTTTTTTTTTTTTTAACTTCACATTGGAGGTCTGAAGGAGGTTGGAGATCTTTTTTGTTTTATTTTGATTGATGACTCTTGTGATATATTAGCTAAAGAACAATTGATTATTGTATCACATTATGTTAATCAGCAATGTCATGCTGTTAAGTGTTCTTTAGATATTGAACCTGTCTTATAGATAAGGTTGTGATTTTCGGAACAAAGTTGGGTTTTGACGGGATATGAAGTGAAATCAGAGAATTTGCTAAAATGTTTAAAAACTCAAGGAAGAAGGAGAAGGATGGAATGATCAGTACACACAACCAAAGGAGGAAGAGCATGCTAAACATCATTTCTTTCCAATAATCATAATTGACTATTACATAAATCTTGAACTAATTCTACAAGATTAAATTAATAATTAAGTAATTCTAATCTACTATTTAACCATGTTCCCTATGATAATTAAAAGAAAGAAAAATAACAATTAAATTTGAAGTAATAAAAGAAAGATAATGATAATTTAATTACGCTACATCAAATACACTCATATGCAATTATATATTTGCAATAGAAAGTTAACATATAATGCATTTTTAAATTCTAAATAAACATCTTAAATTAGTGAAATATGTGATGGGCATTTAAGCTTTTGTTTATCAATAAATTTTTGAACAATATACTAATTATAACTGAGAAATATTGGCTATTATACTATTCATATGCGATATTCATATTATCTTTTTTCAATAAATTTATAAAACCAAACTTAAATACTTTTGCAAAATAAATTTTACTAGCAACAACAATTATTTGATCTTTTAAAAACTAATAAAATAGTTTTCTTTTCAAATTTCCTCAATAATTAAAATGCCAAAATGTATAATAAAATATGTATTTATGAAATATATATTTAAATTCACATAACTTTATAAGAATTTTGAATTTTTGTCTACTAAGTGGTAGAGGAATAGGTTGAGCTTTTTGTTTCATGATGGGTGATTCATGCTTGTATGTAGAGAGAGAAAGAGAGATAATTCATAGGGAAATTAGCAGTGGATGAAATTTGTATGCAAGTTTGTTAGGATTGTGCATAATCAATTGAGTTTGATGGGGAAATTAATTAACTAATATAAGAGGGGAAGGGCCCAAGTGGATGAAAAGGTTTGAAGGATATGGGAAGATTTACATGAATAGATAAATAGAAACATAGAGAGAGAGAGAGAGAGAGAATCATGAATTGCCAACAATATTAATGCAAAGAATGGGAAGGGTTGGAGGTTTTGGAGATAAGGTGAATATTGTAGGAGAAATTATAAATGAGGAAGTCATAACAATAGAGAGAGAGAGAGAGAGAGAATGCGACTTGGTTTTAATTTTAGAATGTTAAACATGGTACACATGTGGATATTAATGGAATAATTTTATGAAGTTGAAAGAGAAATGGTAAAGTTTTTACAAAGAGATTTACTGCTTAATATTAAGAGAGAGAGAAAGAAAAAATGAGCTAGGTGGGAGTTCAAGGAGTGCTCCCTCTTGATAGCATGGAAAAAAAATGAGCTAGGTGGGATTCCAAGGAATGCTCACTTCTGGTAGCATGGAAAAAATATGATGGCTACATATTTATAAAGTTAGCACAAAAATAAAGCATTTAAAAACTTCTATGCATAATATTTTTGAACATAATGGTGGATGGGTGACTAAGTTTTTAAATTATAATATTTTTTTTAAGAAACACAAAAAATACTCTAAAATTGGCAATGCCAGTTCCAAATCCAAATGAACAAAGTTGAGGCTTAGCTCTATCATTAGAAACTTATAAGAACTCATAAGTCATCAGCGCTGTCATCACTAAGGGGTTTTTCATTTGAATCATCATTATGATGAACTGCTCTCTCCCCTTCCTCCTCTCCTATAGAGTCCAATGTCGGGCATTTACTTCAAGATTTATATAAGTTTTAATATATATATAGCATGAGGCGTAAGCCTCATGCCAGTGAGGCGAGGCTAGCCTCAAGGCGGGCCTCAACCAAGTTGAGGCGCAAGCCTCATAAAATAAACTCGAGGCGCAAGCATTGAGGTTTTTTTACTGGAATTTCACAAAGGTGGGCCTCAAGGCGAGCCTCATATTGTGCAATTTTAAACCATGCATCCTTGACAACTTCTTGTATGATTTACACATTTTATATAGGAAGTCACTTCCTTAAATTAATAGAAAATAAATTGATTTAATAAAATTAATGAATGCTTATTATGAAGCAAGGAAAACTATGAGTCAGAAGCTCTTAATAAAATGTGTGAAGTTTATGGTAAATGATCAATGATGAGGATATTTTATTAGAAATATTAAGATACTTATATAATAACTATAAGATGATTTTTTCGCACTACAAATTAGCTTTTTTTTTTCCTAAGACAAAATTGCAATAAACTTTTCAACTGTAATATAGCGTGTCCTTGATGGGACATCAAATCATGGAAAGCATATCAGTGACGTGGCCGACGATCTACGGCCACGATCGCGCCGATCTATTTTTGATTCCTCATATGTATTAGTTTTATTTATTTTCTTTATGTATTTGTTTTAGTTTCATTTCCCTTTTTTTCCCTTACTTAAAAGGTTTGTCATGTGTAAGCCCTAAGGAATATGTTGTCTTTTTTTTTTCCTGTTCATTGTATGAGGCTATATAGCCTCATACAATACAACAATGTTGTTGTATTGTATGAGGCTATATATAGCCCCTTTATGTTTCTTTTGAAGGAATGAATGAATTTTAATGAAATTTCTGCACATTGAGTTCTTGTGAGAGCTTGAGGGTCTTTGGAGAGAAATCCCTTGGAGAGGGAAGCGGATCACGCACCAACCTTGGAAGAGTCCGGGTTCGTGGCTAGTTTCTTCTTGTCTTCCTCCTCTTTCTCTCTCCCTTCCCTTCTACTCCACGACCCCCTCCAAATTTCCCACCGCCTGCTACATCCACCACCCCACCGCCGACCAAGGTCCTTTCCCCACTCCGCCTAGCCGCCGGCCATCCAAGGTGGTTCCCCTTGATTGGGTGACCCACTTAATTCCTCCACCTAACCCTAATCCAGACCCTAGCCTAGCCGCCGTCCTCCCCTTTCCCCCTTGCTTCCAAATTTTCAATTCCCTCATCATTACTTTCCTATCCTAGATTTTCTCTTTTGGAAAGGTTTACAATTTCAATTATTCAAATCAAATTTGAATTTTGAAATGTTTCCTAAAATAGAATCCTCTTTTAGGAAATTTTCTAAAAATCAAATCCAAATTTAATTTGAATTAGATTAGAATTAAATCCTATGTCCTAATTTGAGAATCCAATTTAAGAAAGTCATAACCCTTGCTTATTTCCCCCAAATTCTCTCCCTATGCCATCGGCCCCATGCTTGTCCCCTTCTTGACTAGTTTCCAAACTTCAAGCCTCTCTCTTTGGGAAGACTTCAAAGTTTCTCCCTCTCTCCTAACTGCCCCCTTCCTCTCTCCAAATCCCCATTAAATCCTTTCCAAATTAAAGGATTAATTAGGGGAAAGAATTTATTAATTCCCTCCATCCTTTCTCCCCAAAATCTGAACCAATTTCTTCACCAAGTCTCTTCCTTTGGCTGGCCACCTCTCACCCTTTCCTCCCCTTGAATTCTTGAGAGAAACTTCTTTCTCTCAAAGGGAATCTTCAAGGAGAGCAAGAACGTCGTCTACAACACTTCAACACTACGAAATCGATGCATGGCCAATCCCGATCTTGACTCCGATTTCGTCTACAACGAACAAAGCTTCGTCGACATCCTCCGGTCACCTTTCTTCGACGTCAATCCGGAAGTAGACAATTCCGCCAAGGAGTACTTGGAGCGTATCATCTTCACCTTGTTCAAAGCCATCGAAGAGCAGCTATCCACCGTTCAGTGGAAAATCACCACCGTCCCATGGAGAGGGTGAATTTTTCCTCATGTTCAATTTTCTCCTAATCTTCTTCTCTTGTAGGTTGTGAATCAAGCACAAGGAATCGTGCAAAGCTATTTGTCAATGCTTAGTAAACGTAGGGTATGAGTTTTGACTTTCTATGCTTTCTAATCTCATTGTTAACCTAGGGATGCTATTGAAAATCTTCTTAATTTGCATATGTTGAAATTCTAATTGCTTTGGTGATCTTAACTTTTAGCGTGTGATTTGGCCTAAGCGAAGCCACCTCTCTTTTGTTTTCAATTATCATTTAGTAGCTAACGTTTTTAATTCTTATTTATCTTACTTGAAGAGTGCAACATCTTATTTCATTTAAATCAATACCTAGTCCTACATCAGTCCTATACTTTGTTTGATAGTGTTTCTTCATCTATTTCCTCCTAAAAATAGAGCAAAAAGCATTGAAAAAAAAGCATCACCCATTCTTCTTTCCCATTTCCATGTCACATTTAACACATTTTTTTTCAAAAGAGAATATATTGACAATTAAGCACTACGCATATTGAGCGAAATTTTTAGATCAAGTGTGATTGTTGAGTTGCTTATGCCTTGTTTAAAAGTTTGTTAATTATATTCTGCCACTAGGAGATTCTATAGAAAATTGTTTTACATTGCTATTTTAATTACTGATTTGTATGGTCGGAGTTAATTATTGACAAAACCAAGGTATTTGCTATTTTAATCATTTTGTTTTGAAAACATTTTTTTTATCTCTCTTCATCATGGAACCTCAATAAAGGTAAAATCATGAATATAGCTAACTATTACAGTGCATCAAAATTTTTATGTGACCCAAACGACTGAATATATATGCATGATTTGCTCGCAAAGAAATATAGATGCTACTAAAACATGTTTATAGATTTGCTTTCTCTAATATATCTAGCATGATTTGCTTTCATAGGAATGTTAGACCATTTCCAGAAAAGGTGAGATCATGGTTTGGTCCAAATGGCCAGTACATCAGAGAGTTACCTTGTCCAGGTTGTCGGGGAAGGGGTTATACACCATGCCCCGAGTGTGGAGTTGATAGATCAAGACCTGATTGTTTTCAGTGTACTGGAAAGGTGCCTTTTTGTGTTTATTTGAGTATTGTTGCCCATGATTGTTGCTTCTTAAACTTGTTATTATATATTGCAGGTTATAATTTAAACAAACTGTTGTTTGTTTTGATGATTAGAATAATTCATACATGAGGAATTCTATCAAACAAATATGCACGTCATGTCATATTCTTTGTAATTACTCTTAATAATTTCATAAATATTCACATTTAATAAAATAATATGAAGTTATTGTCTTATATTCAAATCTTCTCTAATTACAATATGCGCATTGCTTTCTATTGAAATGATTTTAAGTTTGATGTTTTGTTTCACAACAATAAATGTGACAAAAATCAATTTTAAATTCATGACAGGGCGTTAAGACATGCCGGCAATGCTTGGGAGAGTGTGTGATCTGGGAAGAGTCATACGATGAGCGACCTTGGGAGAAAGCTCGATCTAGGTGAAACTATGATATACTTGAATTAAATTTGTGCTATTAGATGCATATAATTAACCAGTATTATAATGGAAATTCCTACTGCCTTTAGTCTATAATTAAAAACCAATTTAGTTTTTTTTTCCTTGCATGATTAATCTCTATTGACTTTGGTCAAATTTCTATTAAATTGATTTAGTTTATATCATTCTAGACATAATATATATATAATATATATATATCATATATATATATATATATATATTATAATATATATATATATATATATATATATAATCAATCAAGTATCTAATTTACAAAATCATTTATTTGCAAACTTACCATTAGGTTTGAAATGTTGTCAACTCTTGGAATTCAATCTACTGAAACTTTAACCTACGCGGTCTAACTTGCCTACCACGTGCTTCTATGAAGTCAACTACAAGTTTTGAACAACCGTTATCCTACTAATGGGGTCGGCTACATGAAATCCATTTTTTTTTTTTTTCATTTATGTTCTATTTAAGAGTCAAATTCTTATTTAACTCTAATAAAAAATGTCATTTTTAATACTTTCTAATAGTTTTTTTCCAAACTACCTCTACCTTTCTTTAACCTAGGTTGGATTTAATATATATTCAAATAAACTAAAAAAAAAGAAATAGCATGATATGCTTATTCTGGGCTAGACAAAAAGGTTACATTCATTAGCATATACATGGCTAGTATATTTACTGAATAGGAACACTTGTAGAAATCAAAATTAACTTGGCTGAATTTGAATTTCAGCACGGTTCAAAACCAGAAATAAGATGAAATTGGTGGAAACACTAACAATAAACAATTATATTGATAATAGATGGAAAGAAAAACAAGATACAATTGATCCTCAATTGACGAGGAGGATCCGACTTCTTGTCCAAATCTCTAGACGTCGCTAGAGCCCAAAAACAATGAAGAACAACTAAATTTAGTAAAATATTCAAAACTCTAATCCTAGGAAGCTGAGTAGAATGTATTGAAGCAAACATTGAAAGGTAGAATGTATTGAACCAAACATTGAAAGAGCATCCAAGTTAAAAATCAAGCACGGTTTCTGCTTGAAAAAAATTCTTTTCATTTCTCCTTTGCACCAAGTTGCATGAATAGCCAAGTGAGCTCCACTTATTGGTCATTGTTCTGGACTTATTCACTTTGATTTCTCGACCCAAATATCCTGTTTGTGTATCTTGTCTAAATAATCAATTATTTGGCTTATTACATCATAAAATGATTTATTATTGTCTTGGAATGAAACCCTGAGGTATGTTGCTCAAGAATTGGAGAAATTATTATGTGCGGAGTTTGGACATAGCTCTATGTACGGACTTTCAAAAAATACCTGACATGTGGATATTTAATATTTATATTTATTATTTTTCTTAGCGACCTGCACCCAATCGAGGACAAACTCGTTTTTACCTTTTTAAAAAATAAATCTCGAAAGCATCCAAATATTTAGGATTTTGTGAGCGGAATATCACATTTTACCTACTGAGAAAGAAAATGAGAAACAAGGGGAAGGAGATGAAAATGTGGTATGCAAAACGGTCCAGGAGACTTACTACAACTAATCATGGGAGAAAAATTAGGGTTATTATTGGTAAATTTTAAACTCATTCCAATTTTACTATGTTTTAATGTAATATATAATTTTTTAGGGTTTAGGATGTATTCTTCATTATTTATATGTCGAATGCTGCAAAAAACATTAGTTAATGTAAATTAGTAAATATATATATATTTAGGATTTAGGGTGTATTCGTCAAACTATGTGTAATAGTGAAATTATGTTAGAAATGTTTTTTTTTCTAATACATATCGTGTATTGCTATGTACAATCTTATATATAAGCTTATAGCAATACACAGAAAAATTATGTTGTAAATGTGTTTATTTTTTGTTAATAAACATTGTGTTGAGCTTTGTATTATTGTGTATTGTTGTGTTTTACTATGTATTGCTATGTATTACTATGTATCATATGTATTCCTATTAATTGAGCTGTGTATTGCTGTTAATTGAGTTGTGTATTGATGTCTATTGAGTTGTGTATTATTGTGTATTATTTTGTATTGATGTATTATTGTATATTACTATGTATTGATTTTTCAATTCTTGACATATCATGTTTAATATCAATTGCAGAATATGTTGATGATGTCTCGCTATCCATGTTGAATGCAGCATCTTTGTTTGGTAATCCAATAACAAGAGCCACATCATCTACAGTGAATGGTAGCTCATACCTCTTGACGATGAAGTATTGTTTTGACACATCCCATAATAACAATATCATTTATATTAGAGGAACATTCTGCTGGAAGTTAGTGATCTCCAGAAATTGATGTAGATGTAATTCCTTTAATCTGCCCATGAAATTCTTGCCAAAACTTTTAACCAAAGAGTTGCAAGTAACTCTAAATGTTGATGTTCTATAACGAAAAGTGATCTTTGGAACATACATTTGCAACATGTATAGGGTTTTAACAACATTTTGATCATAATATCTATAATAAATAGCTATGCAATACACAACAATACACAGCAATATACAATAATACACAACTAAATACACAGCAATACATAACAATACACTGCAATACACAGTAATACACAGCAATACATAGTTAAATACACAGCTTTGTATACTGCAATACATAACAATACACAATAATACACAGTAATATACAGCAATACACAGCAATGCATTGTTTGTATTAAGAAAAAAAATATCATGTTTGACATAAATTTTTCATAAACCCTAAACCCTAACAAACATTTTACATAAACCCTAAATCCTAACAAGTATTTTACATAAAGCATTTGCATAACCAATAGCTTTGGCATATCACATATCCAGTGAAGATAAATCTGACCTTAACTTCAGCGTCCGCTCCTAATAATTTCTCTTAGAATATGATAGTGATCCCTGTTCGAAGTTGAATAGCTCCTGAACTGAGAAGCTTAAAAGGAAACGACAATGAAAAACAAAACGACTCTGAATGGTGGGACTTTTGTAATGTCGCGATTTTAAAATTTTCATGAATTTGGTTAAAATATTTCACCATTGCACCGGGTCAGGTCATTGGGATGCCCGTGTAAACATTTTATTGGAGTCCGGACGTAGAGCTACGTCTGAACTCTGCACGTAATAATTTCTCCAAGAATTGTGTGCTAAAATTTTGTACTTCAATAAATCTTTGAATTCATATAGCTTAGTGTCCTTGATGAATAGCTTTATACTCATTCATATCAATGTTTAAAATTGTGTATTCAGGTATTGAGGCGTTTTTCATTCGTGAGGCGTGGCGTAAGCCTCAAGGCGTAAGCCTCAAAATGAAAAGATTGCGTAAACATAAAATGATAAATTTTTTATATACTAATGAATGAATAATATAAAACATAAAAAAACATAAGATATGAAGTGAAATCAAAATATCCCAATAATAAGACAACATGAAATATAGTTCAACTCAAAATTCTATCTTTCCCAAATCTCAATATTCTTTTCATTAAAATATAATTTCAATTTCCAAAAATAAATAGCAATGACATATCACATAAGAACTCATAAGTCATCAGCACTGTCATCACTAAGGGGTTCTTCATTTGAATCATCATTATGATGAACTGCTCTCTCCCCTCCCTCCTCTCCTATAGAGTCCAATGTCGAGCATTTACTTCAATATTTATGTAAGTTTTAATATATATAGCGTGAAGCGTAAGCCTCATGCCAGTGAGGCCAGGCGGGCCTCAACCAAGTTGAGGCGCAAGCCTCATAAAAAAACTCGAGGCGTAAGCATCGAGGCGTTTTTTACTGGAATTGCGCAAAGGCGAGCCTCATATTGCGCAATTTTAAACCATGATTCATATAAGACTCATTGCTTACACAATCGAACATGCTTGAACAAAAGTTAAAAAGCTGCTTAGATAAATGAGCAAATTTGAATACAATCTCACATGTTCATTTATGATTATGAATATGCTCAGTTATTGTTTAACATATTGTTGGATAATAACTCAATAAAATATAAATTTAATGATTGAGTAATTGCTTATTTGTTAACTGTTGTGTAATTATATCAATTTTGTTATATTTTATGCACCTTAAAAATTATGCATATTATTATAAGTATAAGTAAGATGAAAATATCCAACAAATGACTAGATATAGAGATTAAAATATTTTCTTAATAACTTTTGAATTCACCAAATGACTTAATACCAATTAAATATGTCAATTTTGATTAAAATCTATAAATTCAATTATGCCTAATATTAAGGCTTTATATGTAAATCATTAATATCATGCTTATTATTAATTAGGATCAATTAAAGCTTGATTATGACTCATATTCAATATGGAAACTAATAAACAAGCTTGAATAAAATTATAAAACTTAGATTTTATTTAAGTTTAACTTGAACTCGATAAATAAATGATTGAACTTGAACAAGATAGTACTTAGCTCGACTCAGTTCGTTTATAGCCCCTTGTTTTAAATTGCTATGAGGTGGTACAATATGGATACTCTCCATGAACGAATAATGTTATTTATAAAACTTCTTTGATGATTTAAGGCTTAACTTGTATTTGTATATCATACCTATTTTTTCATTCACCTGTCAGCTCTCTCTTTAAAGTGAAAGAAGATGATGAGGTCGACAGACTAGACATAAAGGTGGATGCTGGGAGAAAATCTAGAAGAATATATCGATCACCAACTCCTGAAGTTAGTTTGAAGATCAGCAGATCATTGAGAGTTAGTTTCTTTCTTGAAAATCTTCCCTATTTTTCTTTGGATTTCATATGATAGGTTGTATGTTGCCAATTTAATTGTTTTTATATGGACTAGGCTAACTTCTCCCTTTGAATGACTGGTCTCATGCTATAATGTGCAAAGAAAGAGCTACAAAGTGCTTGAGTGAAACTCCAAAAAAATGTACCCTTACATTGTAAAGAGATTACTCATGTCTCATGAATAAAACAAATTGAGGGGGACTCAAAGCTACACTAATTTATTTATGTGAGATTGCACTGTTAAATTTATGCTTAGTTTGATAAAGAGAATTTATATGTTTATTTATCATCTTGCCATCAGAAGATTATTTATGTGGTAGATTATTTATGTGGTACTCAATTGCACAGCTCATTCTCTGATTTTATAATTCTACTAAATACTTAAATAGCAAAGAACTCATTAGAATCTAGGATTGCAGCCTCATATAACTATGCCCATTGTTATAATTTAGGAGGTGAAGTCTTCAAGGCTTTGTGCTTTACAGTAATGCCAATTGTTTTGCTCGGCATTATATTTGGTTCTCGTTGAACTCTGCTACTTGGAGATTTGTGGGAACCTTTCTCTCATCATGTTTCATTAGTTTCATGGTGCATCATTATCATCATATGCAGGAAACTTAGGTCAACTATCTGTCACTGAATTTTATTAGTTCTCCATTTGTTGCTGTTGAATATTAAATGAAGTAATAATTATATTTTTGATGCAGTCAAGGCTAGCTATTTTATGTTTTTTTTTTTTTTTCACTTGTGTTTCTAGCTCTCTTTCTCCTGTGGTTGTTCGTTACTTGTTTTTAGCTCCTCGATTGCCTGTTGGCCCTTTAGTTTTCCCTGTTGGCTCACTATTTTCCTGTTAGATTTCGGTTTCCCTGCTGCTGGCCCTTCGGTCTCCCTGCTGGCTCAGATTCCCTGCTTTCTCGATTTCCTTGCTACTGGCTGTTTGTCTTTTACTCCTTGTTGATTCCTATAAATGATGTTTTGACTTCCCTTCATGGTGGCTATTTGATTGAGTTCTTTTGGCTGCTTGCGTGGCTCATTTAGGAGAGCATTTAATGTATTTTCCCCCTTCCTCTCCAGTATAAAGTTGCTGATTTCCTTTGTGAAAGAAAGAGATTTGATGAATTTTTTTAATGTGAAACCTCCGGATTTTTAGCTTGCGAGTATCCTCTTCTACCTTTCCTCTACTAATTCATCTTGGACTTCTATCTACGTCTTCTCTCCACGGTTTTCATTCCGCTTGTATCCTTCTCGAAACTTTTATAAGTTGCAAAGTATTTTTGTTTTCTGATTTATTGAAATTTGAAGTGTTGTTTTGACCTGTTTTATGGGAAGGGGTAAGGTGTTGTTTTGTTCTGTTTAATGTAAATTTAAAGTGGTGTGTTATTTTGTTCTATCGATGTTTATTTTTGTTATATTAAAAGGAAGTTTGCAATTTGCATTCCTAGAACCAAGGTTGTTTTTCGGTTGCATCAATTTTGCAATCGTTTTACTCAATTTATGGTCATGTTATCTTTGTTTTATTCATTTTACTACTTAATAGTTCTAAATTGAATTTTATCTCTTCTTATCTCCCTTGTACATATGCTAACTACATCACTATTACCTTGTTTTTAATAAATTCTTTACTGTTTGAATATAATTATCACTCAATTTATTCTTCCTAATTTCATGATTGCAGAGTCTAAATGCTAAAACTGGGCTATTCAGCAAGAGAATGAAGATGATACACCAAGATCCAGTGCTATATGCGCAGAGAGTGTCTGCAATCAAGGTTTTGATCTTTGAATAACTGACTTCTTTTCTGAAACATTTTTCACATTCTTTCATGTGCAAAAGTTATAGCAGTTCCTTCTAGTTACTTATTTTAGTTTGTCTTTACATTTTAAATTTGCTTCGTTAGATTAAATTCCCTTTTATTTTTATTTCATTTCTTGAAAGAAAACAAAAGGAACTCCTGCAGCAAGGAAACGTGCTTCTGAAATCTCCAAAGCTTACTTCAGTGATCCAGAGAACCGTCTTAAGAGAAGCATGGCAATGAAAGGTTATTATGTTGAAGCTACATTGTTCATCAACAAAAACAATATGTACGCATGCAGCATCTCTACATACATTTTTTGTGATAGACACATGCATTCAGCATATGAGCTAAACAAGTCATGCATAGAAGCAATATGAATGATTTCTTTTTTCCTTGGCATATGATCCATATTTATGCATAAAACTAGGCCTCATTTTGGAAAAAAAAATATTTTGTGCAAAGTCCGGAGACCAATAAAAATGCGCCACGTCAAGTATCGAGCTCGGTATCCCTCAGTACCTAAGCATAATCGGATAGGAGAATCAACCGGTGTCCGCACAAAATAATAGCTCTCATTTTGGACGGCTTTTTTACTGTTTCTTAAAACAACTTTCTAGTACAAAAGCTTTAATTTTTATACTAAAAAGTTGTTTTAAGAAGCAGTAAGAAAGACACCCCAAACGAAGCGTAAAACATCATTTGCATATTTGTGTTTATATGTTTCTTTGGCATAGAATGGCAAACCATTTAGGGGATTCTTAAAACAAAATATAACTACAAGAGATCCCAAATGGCGCCCGTTCATCATTCATTTTGATGTTTTGTCGATCCTGCAGGAGTAAAGTTCTACTGCAGCCACTGTGGGGAGGAAGGACATAGAAGACACTATTGCCAAGTACTAAGGGGGGCTTCAAGTGAGATGAGGTTCAGGTGTTCGTTGTGCGGGGCACGGGGACATAACCTTCGCACGTGTGGAAGATCAACAATGAAAAAAGAACAAAGCCGGCAAAGCAAGCCTTGTAAGGTGGAAGAAGGTAACTCTGGTAAGGCTAAGAGGAGTTACTCCTGCAAGTTGTGCTTGGGAAAGGGGCATAATAGTAGAACTTGCCCTGCTAGGAAAGTTAGTGGAGAAATAAGCACAAAGGTTGTAATGCCTGAACAAGTGACTATGAAGTAGGGGTGTATGAAGCTATTTGTGAGCCAGTTTGAGCTCTCGACTCCATAAATGGCTCGTGAACTGAGCTAGCGAGTCAAGTTTGAGCTGACCCTGACTCGACTCGTTAACTGGCGAGTAAGCTCGTTTAAAAAATATTAATAAAAGATGCACTTAAAATATATTAACATTTATAATTTTAAGTGCAAAGTTAAAAATATTTTAAAATTTTATTCTCATTTTCTTTGTTAAGTTATTTTTTATTATTTGCTACTTCTTTCTCATGTTTTTATTATTTTAAATTATAACAATTGTTGGAATTATAATTATTCTCTTTCATTTTAAATGAGCCGGCTCGTGAGCTGTAAAATAAAGCTTGAGCTTGAGCTGGAATTGGATTAATTAATCAAGCTCAAGTCAAGGGTAACTCAAGCTCAGCTCGACTCGTTTACATACTACTATAATTGCTTTACCAAATATTAATTTAGAAAAAAATATTAATTTTTAATGTAAAACATACTATGATTATTGTTTGGTTTACTGTTTCAGCTATTGTCATCAATTTTAGAGTTAGATCTTGAAGAATCTGAACAGTTGTAAAGAACAATGAGAACAGAGAAAAAATTGCCTTGGATATCCTTGTTAGTTTTTTGGTCCGGATGGAGTTTAAAATTCTTAGATTTTAATTAAAATTAATATAATTGATATATCATAAAAAAATTATCTTGATTGAGCATGAATCTTGAGGCAAATTTATATTAAAAACATTTAAATTTAAATTTATGATCATATGAACTTTGATTTCAGCAAACTTATAGTCAAATTAAATGTCTTGAAAAGATGAATCCAAAGACATCAAATTCAACTCAATTTGAGCCCAAATGGGGACCCAAAGCATATTTTGAAGGTTTAAATCTTAAATTAGATGATCAAATGATCACTAAATGTGATATGCTTATAGTCGAATTGAGTGGCTTGACGAGGCGAATCCAACGAGCCCAAGATTACCAAATTCTGACATCATTAAGACACTCAAATACTCGATAAACGGTCTATGATTAAGAGAGTTGATATTGGTCATCTATTGAAAATATTCTCAACTTGTCCTTGATCCTCTCCTTATTTGTTGGTCATATCATTCCTAAAAAATTATAAATAGTCTTAATTCTTCACATGAAGAGAGAGAAAGCAAGGAAGAGAATGAAGAGAAATCATAATTCTATTAACATCGACCATTGTCGAACTTTTGTTGGATTTATGCCTGGCCATCGGCTATCTTCGGACATCCGCCCGGCCACCAACTATAACCGGACTTCTGCTCGGCCTCCAATTAATGCTGAATTTACGTTCAGCCGCCAACTATCGCATGACTTTCGCTCGACTACAAGATTTCGTCGGGCTTTTACTAACTGATGCCTAATTTACGCCCAGCCATCGACTGTCATCGGACTTATGCCTGGCTGCCATTCATCGCCGGATTTCTGCCCGGCCACCACTTATCACCCGACTACGATCTCTCTTACTTTCGTCGCCTGCCTACGATCGTCCTTCCGACCACCTGCACCCGACTACAGTATTTTCGATCTCTGTCGCATAACTACGATGCTTCCAACTACCATCACCCAATTATGGTCTTTACGACCTCTGTCGCCCACCGATAACGGTCCTTCTGACCACCGTTGTCCGACTGTGATCATTCTGACCACCGTCATTCGACTAGTCCTTCTGACCACCATTGCCCGATTATGATCTTTTCGACCTTTATCGCCCACCTACTATGGTACTTTCGACCACTGTCGCTCAACTACAGTCTTTCTGACCTATAGAAATAAAGAAAATTGTAATAAATAAAATAAAAATAAGAAAAATATAAAATAAACATTTATGAACTCATAAAATCACAATGAACAATAAACAAAATAAATATTTCATTTAACAACACATCTTCACACCCAAATTAAATAAATCTCTTAATTTAACTAAAACATTAAAAAAGTTATTAAAAATTCAATAAAAATTAGAAAAATATGAAACAAACTTCTACGAACACATAAAATTATAACAAACAATAGTATAGATTAAGTAAAATATTAATAGAACAAAAAATAATTTTAATTAAGAGTATTCTCAGAATATTCATCTCTTTTGAGATGTATTAATCATAGGGGATTACTCTTATGGGAAACCTATTCCTATAGAATAAAATAATATCTTTCTTGTTATCATAAGGTAGGGAAATGATCTCCATGAACGTACTTTTCAAATCCATTTTTGTTTTCAAATGCCTTTTTAAAAGTGTTATTATCATTTCCTCATATGATACGACATTCTTCTTGATAGTTTATTTTAGAGATTGCATATTTTTTAAAACTCATTCTTCTCTTCAAATCATTTATAGAATAGCTAAACATGGTTGCGTTAAAATTATATTAGCTTAGAAGCATAATATATCATTCATAGTCCTGGACTATTTAGGATTTATGTCAATCTCATTTCTAAATAAATAGCAGCTAACATATCTGTTATAAATACTTGAGTCATGGTTTTAAATCGATTAGGAGTTGTAACTAGCAATCTCACTCCTAGCGGGAGTATAAGTTCAGAAGAGTCAGGCATTCCCAAAACTCCCTTACAAAGAGTCAAAGATATAAGACCCATTTCATTATTATGTACATTATTAGAATTTATTTGAATCACTTGTCTATACTAGTTAACCAATGTTTCAGGTTTCAAGGCAGACTCAAAATCGTAAGTCTTCACCCTTTCGAGAACACAATTCCAGCTTATTAATAAAACATCAACTTAAACAATAAACTCTATATTAAACTGTAAACTCTAGCATATGGCAGGCTAAGGTTGCCCCTGAGCTTCTCAAAATCTGTTCTACCTACTTTTCTCCTTTTACTCACTAATAAGAATTGTTTAAATGTTGCACTTTTTCCTTCAAAAATTTCAATTTATTCTCTAATTCTCTACACTGTAATCAAAGGGTGTGAAATAAATGCTTAAATTGAGTCTTCTTAAGAGTTCCTCTTTTAATATATAATTAATCATAGGGGTTTACCCATACGAAGTGAGAACTCCATATTAAAATAAACTTTGTTTTATTCTAATAGGAAAAAATAACTAGAAATGTGGATATTCTTTTCAAACACATTTCTTTTTTTAAATACCTTTATGGAATGTCATTATTTTCATCCAAGATAATACAATATTCTCTTGATCGTGTTTGATCTTGGAAATGACACATTTTGAAAAATCCATTCTTACTTTTAGATCCTTTTTAGAATATTATGTTAGTCTCTTTAGATGATTTAATATTTTTTGTTGCATTTGATGGTAGGAGTGGTCAAATTCTTAAAACTTATTTTCCTTTAAGATGACATTTTATTCGTTGAATTGTGTTTAATTACAAAAATCATATTTTCTAAAACCCTATTTTGATATTAAATCTATTTCAAAATATAGTGTTCGTCTCTCGAAATGATACATCATTCTTAATACAATATTTGATCTCAAACTATGAAAGCACAAAAAATCTGCGTAACATTTATTTCTCAATAGATGGGTCAGCTAACAAGTAAGAGAGGCACTTGGATCATACAACCTATGGAGACAAGGGGAGAGAATGATCAGGTTAGTGTGCGAATCTATTGGTAGAAAATGAGTTAAAGGACATGTTATGAGTGCAACATGGGGAGACAAGAGGAAAGAGTGATGAGAGTGTGCAATTCCGTCATTAAAAATTGAGTTAAAGGGTATCAGTGCGGGTTATAAGGTTGGCCTTCTATATGAATGCCTACTCAAATGATGCTGAAGAGGGAGCAGAGGATGGGTCAATCTTCTATAAGAATACCTGCTCGAATTAAGAGATGCATGGGCAACAAATTTAGGATGGAGATGGCCGATGATTATAATGTTATATAATTTGTTATGGTATGTTAATCTAGTTTTTATACTTGCACTTAGGTTTTGCTTGAGATGGATTCTCACATTTGTAATGCTAGGGCTTTTTACCAATTGTCTAATGGAATTGGAAAACTGATGCAGGCTTTGTCTTGGGCACTAGAAAGCTTCTGCTTAAGGTTTGTAAATGTTTTCTTCTTGCCAAACATTTTACACAATTTCTATGTGATGATCTACTCAACAATTATTATTTCAGTGTAAAATCTATAAGCTTTTCTAAGAAATAAATAAATAATATATTATATATTGAACTTTCATATGTATAATAATTCATCTTTTAATTAAGTAGCATATTACAATATGACGTACCCTTATAAGTTTGTAGTTAGATTAAAACTATAAGGGATTTACATACATAGCACCTAAATGTTATATTTGCTTTTTAAACACCTAAATCTTACTCAACACCTCAAATATACCATCTTATCTACCCTACTCTTCTCGCGTTGATTCCTTCGTCAACTCCAACACAGCATATGGAGCAAAACTTGGTGAAGGTAGTATCTTGTGTTGAGATAGTTGCTACTTAGTTCTTGTTTGGTCATATTCTTGCAACTTGTATGGTTTTTATAATTTCAAATATTATTGTTTTTATTATTATTTCTCCTAACATGTTTTAAAAGAATTGTTTTGCTCTTGTGGATACTAACATTTTAGAAAAATTATACTCTGGATTGTTGAATACTTTAAATTAAGATTAGTTTAGAGTTTAATGTAATTGAAGTCTGTATTTTTCATTTTATTAAGTTTGAGAGAGTGTGATTGTAATTGAGTAACTAATCACACACATACTAGAGGAGAGTTTAAAATCTAATTTTTTTTAAAATTAATCGTACTACATGATATCCATTCGTACAAGATGATATGATCAGTTATTTTCCCCTTCAAGCAATTGAACGAACATATTAGAGAAAAAAATTTTAAGTATGGATCGTACTGTATGATATACCATTCGTACATACCTTCTAGAGTACGAATTGGAAGGGTCCCTTTTCATCCCGACCTTTTGTCCAGACAAACCTGAAGAATTTTTGAACGGTTCGTACCATACGATGTTGTCATCGTACGTACGCTGTCCAGGGTACAAATTAGATGGAACCCTTTTTCATCCAAATGAACCTGAAAAATTTTGTAATTGATCGTGCTGTACGAAGTCGTCGTCGTACGTACGTCATATAGGGTACAAAATTATGGGGTCCCTTTTGTCCTGACTAAGATGAAAAATTTTATAATTGTTCGTACCAAACGAATTTGGTTCGTCCCGGACG